GCCTCGCAGCGCTGTCACCCGCAGTAAATTACCGGCTTGGCGTTAATCTGCCCGAGCGCAGAGAGCCGAGATCCCTGCAAATGCATCTCCCAGACATCCCCTGCAAGCCGCAGCTTTAAAATCCATTCGGGGGAAGCAGAGCAGAGGTTTTATTGGAAGGCAAAGAGAAAGCTCAGCTCCCGAGGGAGCGCGGCCCAGGGGAGGGGAGATAAAGCCACCCCGGCCCGGGGCGGGGGGGACAGGCCATTGTTTGCTACAAAGGACAGGAAACGAGCCTCAAAGGGGACATGAAAGAACCTTAAAACAAATGCAGATCAGCGAGCGGGGATGGCTCCGAGCATCTCCCGCCTGCGCTGCCCGGGGTGCTGCGGCCGCGTGGGGCTCGGAGCCGGGGACCCCCCGGGTGCTGGGACCTGCCTTTCCCCCCAGGATGGAGGAGAAAAGGGCCGGAGGAGCCTGGCATCACCTCGATCCACCCGTTGTGGCCGGCCTCAATGGTTGTAGAATCGTCAAATCAAGGAATGGTTTGGGATTGAAGGGACCTTAAAGTGCCACCCCTGCCATGGCAGGGACACTTCCACTGTCCCAGGCTGCTCCGAGCCCTGTCCAACCTGGCCTTGGTCTTATGGTTAGACTCCATGGTCTTAAAGCTCCTTTCCAACCTAAAAAATTCCATGGTTCCAACCCCCTTCCCTTCCAAATCCCTTCATTCCCACAGGGTGTGACTGAGCCGGGCAGGACACTCAGAGCTTGTCCTCACTCCAGCCTTGGGCTGCTCTCCTGCTCCTTCAGTGCCCCCAGAACTCATCCCGTCCTCCATCCATCCCCAAAACTCATCCATCCCCCCCTGCCCAGCTCCACACAGCCCCAGAACTGGGTGGGTTTGGTGTCTCCTTAGAGCCCCCCAAGGAGGGGGAACCGCTGTGGTGCCCCCCTGGCTGGGGGCTCTGCCTGGAGAAACCGAGCTGTGCTCAGCCTGAGGAGTCACTGAGGTGCCAAAAACGCGTTAAAGCCAATTTTACTACACAGAGATACTCCTTATCTGCTCTGAAAAAGTGTGGGTTTGGTCCCTTTGCAGTTGAGCCCCTCTGCTGAACGCTCTGCTCCTCCCAGCGAGAGCAGGCTGGCGTTTGAGCCAAGTGGCAGCAGTGACCCACGGTGGCCCACAAAGCCATTTCCTGCCATACAAGGCAGCCTGGTGGCCCTCTGCCAGAGGGGACAATGAGGCTCGGTGGGGCCTGGCCTGTGAGCCCTCGTGTTCCTGTTTACTTGGAGCCTTGGTCGTGGATCAGAGAGATTTCTCTGGCTCCTTTCTCAGCGATTTTGAGCGCAGTGGCAGGCAGCAGCGCCCAAATCCTGCAGGAATCCTCCTCCTCTGTGGGGTCCCTGCCATTGGTGGCTCTGTGTCATCGGGGGGGAACCTTCCCCAGCCCTGCAGGGGGTCGCACCAGCTCTGTCACCCCCTGGAAGGACAGCAGGACCCGAGGCCAGCTCCTGGGCCCTGCTGAGGCCAGCAGCATTGCAGGCTGGCCAGGAGGACAGCAGGGCTCTGTGTGCTCCTGTCACACGAGGGAAGGGACAAACATCAGGGAGGGGAGTTCCCGCTGTTATCTCGTCCTTCCTGCAGCCCAGAGCCCGACACACACCCTGCCTTTATCAGCCCGGCCCGCGGGCACAGCCGGGAGGGGCTGGGACAGCGACAGGGGCCGGGCAAGGGGACAGGAACGGGGCACTGGGGATGGGAGAGTGGCCTGAGGACAGGAACGTGGCCCTGGGGGTGGGAATGTGGCACTGGGGAAGGGAACATGGCCCTGGGAATGAGAACATAGCACTTGAGATGGGAATGTGGCACTGGGGATGGGAACGTGGCACTGGGGGTGGGAATGTGGCACTGGGGACAGGAATGTGGCACCAGGACAAGAACATGGCAGTGGGGACAACAAAGTGGCACTGGGGACAGGAATGTGCCCCTAGGAATGGGAATGTGGCAGTGGGACAAGAACATGGCACTGGGGATGGGAAGGTGGCACTGGGGACAGGAAAAAGGAATCAGAGCATTGCTGAGGTTGGAAAAGCTCTCTGGGATCATCGAGTCCAACTATGACCCCAGCACTGCCAAGGCCACCCCTAATCCACGTCCCCAAGTGCCACATCCAGCGTGGTTTGACCACTCCAGGGATGGTGACCCCAGCACTGCCCTGGGCAGCTGTGCCAGGGCCTGACGCCCCTTTCTGTGAAGAAATTTCTCCTGATGTCCACTCCAAACCTGCCCTGGAGCAGCCTGAGGCCTTTCCTCTTGTCCTGGGCCTTGGACTCAGGAGAAGAGCCCGACCCCCACCTGGCTGCACCCTCAGGAAGTTGCCAGAGGAACCGGGGGTGGAAGCATGGAGCTGGAGAAGGGATTGTGGTGCCTGGGGATGGGAACAGTCCTTGGAGACTGGGACATGATGCCTGGAATTGGGAATGTGGCTCTGGAGACTGGAACACAACACCTGGGGATGGGAACATGGTGCTTGAGGATGGGAACGTGGCTCTGGAGATGGAACCATGGTATCTGGGAATGGGAACGTGGCTCTGGAAAAGGAACCGTGGTATCTGGGAATGGGAATGTGGCTCTAGAGAAGGAATGATGGTGTTTGAGGATGGGAACAAGGTGCTAGAGACTGGAACACAGTGCTTGAGGATGGGAATGTGGCTCTGGAAATAGGACCATGGCTCTGGAGATGGAAAAGTGGCTCTGGAGAAGGAATCCTGGTTCCTGAGGATGGGAACATGGTGCTGGAGACTTGGACACTGCACTTGGGGATGGGAATGTGGCACTGGAGATGGAAACATGGTGCCTGGTGATGGGAACACGGTGCTTGAGGATGACAACATGGCTCTGAAGATGGGAACACTGGGGATAGGAATGTGGCTCTGGAGATGGGAACAACCTGCTGGAGAAAGAACCATGGTACCTGGGCATGGGAATGTTGTTGTGGAGGAGGAACTATGGCTCTTGAGGATGGGAACACTGTGCTGGAGACTGGAACACAGTGCCATGAGATGGAAACAGTGCTTGAGGACAGGAATGTGGCACTGGAGATGGGAACAGGGTGCCTGGGGATGGGAACACGGTGCTTGAGGATGACAACATGGCTCTGAAGATGGGAACATGGTGCTGGAGAAGGAACCATGGTACCTAGGGATGGGAACGTGGCTCTGGAGAAGGAATCCTGGTTCATGAGGATGGGAATATGGTGCTGGAGAAGGAACCATGGTACTTGGGGATGGGAATGCGGCCCTGGAGAAGGAATCCTGGTTCATGAGGATGGGAACATGGTGCTGGAGACCAGAACACATTCCCTGGGGATGTGAATGTAGCTCTGGAGACTGGAACACACTGCTGAAGACTGGAACACAGCATCTGAGGATCGGAATGTGCCTCTGCAGATTGCAGCACGGTGCCTGGGGACAGAAACGGGCCTGCGGAACGCGGTGTCGCCGGTGGGCAGGCACCGAGCCCCGGGGGACGCGGCCGAGCGGTGCCGGGACTCGAACCCGGGTCCTCCAGGGGGGCGGTGTGTGTCGGGGGGCGCTGCCGGCAGGGGGCGCTGCCGCGCGCGGGCTGGGGGGGGGGGGCCGGGCCGGGGTCCCTTAGCGGGGCCCGGCCGGGGCCGGAGCGGCTCCCGCGGGCTCCTCCGCCCGGGAAAGGGCTCGGCGGCTGCGGGGATGAACCTTTAGGTGCCGCTGGGGCCGCCCGTTCCCCTCCGCTGGCGGCCGCGGGGCCGGGCCCAGCGCCCCGAGCCCTCTCCGGGGCCGCCTCATCCCCGGATCCTCTCCTCCGGCCGCCCCTTCCCGGATCTTCCGCTCCCTTCTCCCCGCTCCTTTCCCTGGATCTCCCTTTTCCCTGGATCTCCTCCCCGCTCCCTTTTCCCCGGCTCTCCCCGCTCCTTTCCCTGGATCTCCCTGTTTCCCGGCTCTCCCCGCTCCTTTTCCCGGCTCTCCCATCCCGGGCTGGGCCGTGGCCGGTCCCTCCCTGGCCCTGGGGACGCTCGGTGTCGTGGCAGCTGCGGCCCGTGGCACCCGAGCGCGGGGGGATCGGGCGGCGAGCGGGGCTTTGGGTGGAGATTAAAGCGGCTCCGTGCACGGCCAGGGGATTTGCAGGAGCAGAGCGGCTGGGCAGGAGGAGCTGCGAGCGCCCGGTGCCCGTGAGTGACGCCAGGAGCTGCACAGCCAGCGGGGTCAGGGCTGGCTGTCCCTGCGTGTCCTGGGCCGTCTGAAAGGGCCCGGCCTGGGGTAAAACTGGGCTTGGCACGGGTCACCCAGAGCAGCTGTGGCTGCCCCCGGATCCCTGGCAGTGCCCAAGGCCAGGCTGGACAGGGCTTGGAACACCCTGGGACAGTGGGAGGTGTCCCTGCCATGGCAGGGGTGGCACTGGATGGGCTTTGAGGTCCCTCCCAACCCAAACCATTCCAGCATTCCATGATAACCTGGTGGAGTTCAGGCTCACCTCTGTGCCCGCACATCACAGCAGCAGCCACCCAGGTGTGGCCTTTGTCACCTTTACATCCACCGTGGTGACAGTCCGCCCGGCCGGGGCCGGAGCGGCTCCCGCGGGCTCCTCCGCCCGGGAAAGGGCTCGGCGGCTGCGGGGATGAACCTTTAGGTGCCGCTGGGGCCGCCCGTTCCCCTCCGCTGGCGGCCGCGGGGCCGGGCCCAGCGCCCCGAGCCCTCTCCGGGGCCGCCTCATCCCCGGATCCTCTCCTCCGGCCGCCCCTTCCCGGATCTTCCGCTCCCTTCTCCCCGCTCCTTTCCCTGGATCTCCCTTTTCCCTGGATCTCCTCCCCGCTCCCTTTTCCCCGGCTCTCCCCGCTCCTTTCCCTGGATCTCCCTGTTTCCCGGCTCTCCCCGCTCCTTTTCCCGGCTCTCCCATCCCGGGCTGGGCCGTGGCCGGTCCCTCCCTGGCCCTGGGGACGCTCGGTGTCGTGGCAGCTGCGGCCCGTGGCACCCGAGCGCGGGGGGATCGGGCGGCGAGCGGGGCTTTGGGTGGAGATTAAAGCGGCTCCGTGCACGGCCAGGGGATTTGCAGGAGCAGAGCGGCTGGGCAGGAGGAGCTGCGAGCGCCCGGTGCCCGTGAGTGACGCCAGGAGCTGCACAGCCAGCGGGGTCAGGGCTGGCTGTCCCTGCGTGTCCTGGGCCGTCTGAAAGGGCCCGGCCTGGGGTAAAACTGGGCTTGGCACGGGTCACCCAGAGCAGCTGTGGCTGCCCCCGGATCCCTGGCAGTGCCCAAGGCCAGGCTGGACAGGGCTGGGAACACCCTGGGAGGTGTCCCTGTCCATGACGGGGTGGCACTGGATGGGCTTTGAGGTCCCTCCCAACCCAAACCATTCCAGCATTCCATGATAACCTGGTGGAGTTCAGGCTCACCTCTGTGCCCGCACATCACAGCAGCAGCCACCCAGGTGTGGCCTTTGTCACCTTTACATCCACCGTGGTGACAGTCCCAGTTGGGTTGGAGCACCTCAGTTTTGTGTCGTGTTGGGAGCAAAACAAACTCTGCTGCAAAAGGTCTGAGAGCCTCAACTCAAACCCCCAAGCAGCAATGCCACATGAGGAGTTTGAGGTGATAATTCATGCTGAGCTTGTGCTGTGCAGGTGGCAGAGATGGCCCAGCAGCCCCCAGCCTCTCCCTCTGGGAAGGCAGAGTGGTTTAAAATGACTCCCTGGGAGTTGGCTGATGTGAGCAGGAGAGGTAAAATGGGAGCGCTGCGAAGGAGGAATTTGGAGAGCGCCACGAGCCTTCTGGCCAAGGCTCATTTTTGCATCTTGCTGTCAAGAATGTGTGGGGTAAAAGCAGGTTTTGGGAGTGGTTTGTGAGACCTGGGGCTGTGTCTGGGGGGACAGGGGTGTTTCCCCCCAGGTGTTTGGGGACAGCAAGTCTGGTGCTTGGTGGTCCTGCTGGCATGGGGGGGTTGATTCCTTCACGTGCTGAATTCCTGGAGGTTCCTGGATGTGGAATCCATGCTGGGCAGTGTTTGGTGCCATCAGTGGCTTTGTGTCACCAGCCTGAGGTTGAGCTCACGTGCTGAGCCCGGCCCAGGCACCTGTGTCACCTCACTGACCCTGTCACAGGGAGGTCAGTCCTGTGGGGACAGGTTTTCTAGTACCCCAGTGGTGTGGGGGACAAAGTGGGAGGGGACAAACCCAGCTGACCTGGTTTGGCCCCTCGTTAGCAGAGCCTGAAGCTGACTCTGAAAGCTTTATTGATGTGCAGGGAGCTTTGGGATGTGACCTCGTGGTTCCAAACCCCTGGAGGGTGGGCACTTGGTGGGGACAGCAGGAGTGTGTTGGTGGCCTGTGCTTAGAGGGTGAAACCCCAGCCACAGTGAGGGACTGTCACCAAAAGTTATTTGGCTTTAAGGTTTTAAATTTGAGTGAGGAGGAACCGGAGGCACAGCTGAGTTCTGGGTGTGTTGGTGGTGTCACCTCGAGGCCTGGGGGACGGTGGCAGCTGTGGTGACAGCTGTGGGTGTCCGTGTGCAGGTGAAGGAGCTGGTCCTGGACAACTGTCGCTCAGAGGATGGCAAGGTGGTCGGCCTCTCCTCAGACTTTGAGAACCTGGAGTTCCTCAGCATGATCAACATCAACCTGCTGTCTGTGTCCAACCTCCCCAAACTCAACAAGCTCCGGAAGGTGAGTCAGGACTCTGCTCCCATCTCCAGCAGCCCCTGGTGGCTGTTGGTTTTCCTGTATTTGCCAGAAAATACATTGAGTTTTGCTCCTTCCTCGCTGTCTGAGCAAGTGAGAGGGGTTGGTTTTAATGTGCAACAAAACCCTTCTGAGCTCTTCAGGCGCTTAGTGCCCTTCCTGTCTTGCTTTTTTACTGTCAGAAGCTTCATGACACCATAAATATTTTGGATTTTGAAGCACTTACCATCATGGAGGTGGCTGGCAGCCCTGCAGGAAAGGGTTTTTAAGGGCAAACTTGACCTGCTGCTCTGTGAGCTGAAATTTGGGTGCTCATTGTAGCCCAGTTCTCAGTGCAATTTCCTTCCCTGTATCACGAGCTGAAACACTTGGTGACCGTGTGATATTCCCTCTCTTCAGCTGGAGCTGAGTGATAATAGGATTTCTGGTGGCCTTGAAGTTCTAGCAGAGAAAACTCCCAACCTGACACACTTGAACCTAAGTGGCAACAAGATCAAAGACATCAATACCCTGGAGCCCTTGGTGAGTGGAGGCTGTGCTGGAATCCCAGGGATGGCTTTTCCTTTGGGGATTGGGTCTGAGCAGCTGGAATCCAACGTCTTGGTAACTGTTCCAACAGCACTTCGTGGTTCTGATGGGAACAGATTTGATCCCAGTTTGAGGCTGGGCCAGTAGTTAATGGCTCCTCAGTCTGGAAAAGCAGCAGCCAGTTGCTAAAAGAAGCGTGAAATGGGGCTGGATGAGTAAAACTGTGGATGCTCAGTGCCCAGCTGAGAAGGGACCGGGAAAGGGTCGGAGGCAGTTGGAGGTAGGTGGCACCTGGGGTGTCATGGAATGAGGTAACTGGGCAGCACTGAGGGCATCTGTCCCATCAGCCTGAAGGTTCTGCTGTCCCAGCACTGCAGGGCTCCCATTCCCACAGCGGTCAGGGAGGCTGGAAAAGGCCTTTGAGGCTCCACCTGAGCTGCCCCAGGAATGCTGTGAGGGACTCCTGAAAGGTCTGAAACAGGGCATTTGTCTCACTGGCTGTTTTGTCCATCCATTCCCTCCAGAAGGAATTTGGGGTTGTTTTGCTCCTCCTTTCCTTGGCGTGGTGCCTGCTGTGGTGGCCTGAGCTGGGCTGTGCCAAGGGCACCCAGGCTGCTGCTCTCCCTGAGCTCTGCCTGATCTTTTGAGCAGGATGAGTCCAGCTCAGCTACTCCTGAGCTTGCTGAGACTGCTCAGAAGAAAGAAAGATTTGCAAATACACAGAGAATTTGTTCCAGAAAGGGAAGCAGGACAGAGGAGCTGGACAGAAATTTCTTGTGCCCACAATGAGAGGAGCAGTGACTCCTCTCCATCCGAGGAGCATGTGGGGCAGAACAACTCTGTGCTGGACCTGGGCATTGCCCCAGCCACCCTGCCTTACCTTCCTGATCTTCAGACAGCACTGTAAATAATCTTAACAAATTGATTTTTGCAGAAAAAGTTGCCAAACCTCCACAGTCTGGACCTGTTCAACTGCGAGGTGACGATGCTCATCAACTACCGGGAGAGCGTGTTCGCCCTCCTGCCCCAGCTCACCTACCTGGATGGCTTTGATGCTGACGAGCAGGAAGCCCCTGACTCAGACCCTGAAGCAGATGGAGATGCACTGGAAGATGATTATGAGAATGGGGAAGGTGAGGGTTTTGTCTCCTCCTGGTTTTCCTGCTTGGCAACGACCCCTTTTGCACTTATGGGGGGGTTCCACCGATGGGGTTGGCACTGGAGGAGGGGCTGTGTGGGCCCCTCAGCCCTTCTCCCTCCCCCACCCCACTCCTGGGAGGGACTGGGAGTTGCTGGGAGGTGACAGGGCTTGGTGCTGTCCCTCCTCATCCTCTGTGACCCCTGCCTGCTGCTCACACAGCACTGAGGGGAGAGAGGTGCCTGGGTTTGGGAACTGGGGCACTTCCCTCCCTCCCCCTTTTAGTAGAAGGTGAGGAAGAGGAAGATGATGAGGAGGAAGATGATTTGGATGAAGAAGTCATTGATGACGAGGAAGATGAAGACGATGATCTGGAAGGTGAAGAGGAGGAGGATGGAGTAGATGATGAGGTGAGGCTGTCACCAGACCACGTTTGTCCCTTGTCTGGTGACCCAAGTGTCACAGGAGCCTCTCTGAGGAGTTTGCCATCCGCTCTGGACTGCTGAGAGTGGCAGACTCCAGAGAGTTTCCAGTTCAGCCTTGGCCTGGCACTTCCATGGCTCTGATGGTGGATCCATGCAGCCCCATCCGTGGGATGTGAGGAGCTCTTGGAGATCCAGCAGCTTCTGCCACCCTCAGGCTTCAGTGGGGTGGCAAAGGGGAAGGAGGACTGGGGTTACTGCTCATGGAATTGTTCTTGCTACAAATCCTCTTGTTTTCACTCCAGGAGGAAGATGAGGAGGAGGATGGTGAGGAGGATGAAGAAGATGAAGCTGAGGAGGGTGAGTTGAGTCCTAACAATTCAATTTCTTGCAGGACTCCCTCAAGAGTCAAATATTTTGTGGCTTTGGAGCTTCCTTAGCCTCAGTGCAGGGCTGTTGTTGCTGCAGCTTTTCTGCCCAAGCTGGTGCTGAGCAGTGTCATCACCAAGGGTCACACAGGGAGGGAAAGGGATGAAATTCCAACCATGCTGGGTAATTCTGGGAAATGTGAGAGGTCAACTGCTTAGAAAAGCAGTTCTGGGAGCTGATGGGCCATGCAGGAGCAGGGCTTCTGTCCCAGGAGGGTGTGAGGGAATCTCTTGGGGGCCCATTCCCCTCTCAGACCTGAGCTTGGGGCCTGACTCCTGGTTGTACAAACATGAACACCCAGATGAGAGTTGATAGAATATTGTGGCTGGTATGATTTCAAATAATCTTGATGAATCATGGAATTGTTAAGGTTGGGAAACCCCTCTAACACTGCATCCAACACCACCATGCTCACCACTGACCCCTGTCCCCAAGGTCCACATCCACATTTTTTTAAAGAGTTCCAGGGATGGTGATTCCACCACTGCCCTGGGCAGCCTGTACCAATGCCTGATCACCTTCTCCTTGAGGGAATTTTTCCCAATATCCCATTTAAACCTCACCTGGTGCAACTTGAGGCCATTTCCTCTTACCCTGTCACTTGTTACCTGGGACAAGACTGCCTCCCCCAGCTGTCCCCTCTTGTCAGGGACTTGTGCAGAGCCACAAGGTCCCCCTGAGCCTCCTTTTCTCCAGGCTGAGCCCCTTCCCAGCTCCGGCAGCCCCTCCTGGTGCTCCAGACCCCTCCCCTGGACATGCTCCAGCCCCTTCAGGTCCTTCTTGTCAGGAGGGCCCCAAAACTCCCCCAGGATTTGAGGCCTCAGCAGTGCCAGCCCAGGGGCCCTGAGCTTGGTCAGGAGTGCCTGATTTCTGCAGATGCTGTGTTTTTGAGGGTGCTCAAAAAAAAAAAAAATTGCTTTTTAGCTGTTATGCAGATGCTTGGAGGGCAGAGAAGGTTGTTGGTGTCTCGTGTCAGCCCAGGCTTTTGCAGGAGGAGCGGGGCAGGGTGGATCTGCTCCCAAATGGTGCCAGTCTGTCCTGTGCCTGCTCCCACTGCAGAGCTCAGCTGCTGTTCCCTGGGCTGGGCTGGAAGAGTGAATCCCCCCTCTCTTTGCAGACCACCCGTGTGGGGAGAAGAGAAAACGAAGTCTAGAGGATGAAGGAGAGGAAGATGCAGAGGACGAAGAGGATGATGAGGATGACTGATCCCAGCGAGCCAATCAGTTTTACAGACTCTGACTGTGCTTGTCTTAACCTCCCCGTTGTGTCTGTGTGAGACTGTAAATCCCTGTCTCCCACTCCTCCTCCTCCCCCTTTGTATGGCTGCAGCGTCCACAATATATTTTTTTAAGATTTAGAATACTGTAGGCATTCAGGGGAATCTTCCATACAAGGCTCACTTTTTTTCTCACAAGTATCTCATGACCAAAGGCTTTTCTCCGTTCGGTGGTTTGTGCAGCAGCTTAAAAAAAAAAAAAAAAAAAAAAAAAAAAAAAAAAAGCAAAAAAATTAACAAAAAAAAAGAGGGGAAAAAAAATCTCCTCCTTAGGGTATCTGTGTGTCCGAAGTCAGCTGTGCCACACTGGACCCAGAGCTCCAGCTGTCACCCTGCCAGCACAGAAGGCCTTTGCCACCCTCGTGCCCTCAGCCCAGGGCTCTGGAGATGCTTTTTGAGCCACCTCGGGTGCAAAATCTGGTTCGTCTGCGTGGACTCACAACGATCCTGAGGGTGTCTCAGATCTGAAATCATGGTGATGTGATCTCTGGACGTGCTTGAAGATGCTTTAGTGCTGGGGATGGGGGGTGCCTGGGGTTTTGGGGGGAGGGAGGGGCTGCTTGCATGACCTGGTACCTCTGCCGATGCACCTTGCAGTAACCCTGCACTTGCTTTCCTATTTTATTTTATAAACTGGAACATTTTTCCCAGTGGCCACTTAAGAACCATCCCTTGGGCTATCCCAGGTGAGGGGGGTTTTTGAGGCTGTGTCTGTGCTGCGGGGAGCCCTGCAGCAGCTTTGGGAAGGGATAGGGAATGCAGGTGAGGGGATACTGCTCCTCCACCCCTCATTTCACACTGTACAGCCCTGTGCAGCCACCATCACTGTGATGCTCCTGCAGACCGTGTTAGCCTGGAAATTCTCAGGGTCCTTCTGCCAGCCAGTGCCACCTCTGCACGGGCCCCTGGTGCCAGCCTGGCCTGGCCATCCTCCTCTTCCTCCTCCCGGGAACAGAGCTCCAGCTCCCCCCTTGTGTCCCCGCTGTGGGGGTGGCACCCCGAGCTGGCTGCAGGGAGGACTGGGGGAAGCCAGCCAGGTGCATGCAGCATTCCCAACCCCATTCCCACCTTCCCTGCCATCCCGGAGGTGTCCAGCCAGCGCATCCCTTGGGAGAAGGGCCCGGGGAGGGAGGTGGGGGCAGCCCGGGGGTGCAGACAAGCACTGGCACTTTGTGGCATTCCCGCTGGGGCTCCGTGTGCCCCCGGGGCCGAGCTCCAGCCCTGCCCTCCCCTCCCGGGGGGCGTGGGTGTGTTCAGCAGCACATCCCCCTTCCCGTCTTGCTTTGCTGGTGTCTCTTGCATTGTACAGTCGCTGTGACCATTCGGAGAAGAAGTAATCCTGTAAAATGCAAACTGAGTAACTTATAAATGTTTAAGGAATTTTAAAAAAAAGAAAAAAAAAAGTCAGAGCAGCAGTTACTTCTAATTTTTTTTCCCTGCATTTTTAGCAGATTGTATGGATTTTATATTAGCCTAGTAACTGTCAGGTTTTGATTGGTCGGACTAGTCCCAGAAATAAGGATCTCCAGCCCTTTTGTATCTTTTGTTACAAAATTTGGATAAAACTTTTAATAAAGACTTCAGTTTTTAAAAATCCATTGCTATGGAGCTTGTCTTGGCTGCCTCTGCCTTGGGACCAGCCAGGAATGCTTGGAGTGGGGGCTCTGGGGCACGTTTGGGTTTCTGCTGGGAGCAGGGACTGTCCCCTGTCCCCGGGAGGGCTGGGTTTGGGACAGAGTGGGGGCTCTGCTGTGGGGTGGGGTCCCAGCACCATGGGCTCTGCAGGACCCCCATGGGCCAGAGCTGGGCCCCGGCTCAGGGACAGCTTGGGAAGGGGCTCCCTCCTGCCTTCTGTGGTGGCACCTGGAGGAGGCAGGGCAGTGTTCAGCGGGCTGGGGGCCAGGGCAGTCACCTGTGCCAGCTGGGCATGGGGGCTGAGCTGTGCCCCCTGCCCTGTCCCTTTGGCACCTCGGGGTCCCTCCTTTTGGGGTGCTCTGTGACCCCGTGCTGGCTCTGTGATGAGCTGGCACTCTGCCAGGTCTCAGCAGCTCAGGGACACTTCAGGGTGTCCATCAGGGCCTGAGGGGACCGGGCTGGACTGGGAGGGCACGGTGCCAGCTCAGGGGGGCTGCAGGAGAGAGCCCTGGGGCACCCCGGGGTGCTGCTCACCCTGTAGGGGATGGAGGCAGGAGGAGGAGGAGGAGATGGCAGCAGGAGGAAGGAGGGATGGCAGCAGGAGGAAAGGATGGCAGCAGGAGGAAGGGATGCCCACCTGCCCAGGTGGCCACTGTGCCTTTCTGAGCCCTGTCCCGGTGTTTGTGGCCCCTCCCAGCGCTGGCAGCAGCAGAGCAGAGCAGGGGCTGCCGGCTCTTGTGTCGCTCCCATCCCTCGCTCCCAGCCAGGGCTGGCGTGGGCACCAGCAGGTCCCAGCACGCCTCCCCTCAAACCAGTTTGCAGCAAACTTTTCACCCCGCTGGGCTGGGCCTGGCAGAGTGGGGCTGGGGGAGCCCCAGGCTGCTCCCACGGGGGGTGCAGCCCCCCAGGCTGGGCACCTGCGCCCTTGCCCCTCCCAATGGCTCTTCTGGGCCATTCCATGCCCGCTGTCTGGGCCAGGGCTGGGACAGGCACGGAGGCTGCCCGGGGCTTGGGGTCCCACCCTGCTCTGGTTGCTGGCGTGCAGCTGGCAGAGGCTCCAGCCCTGCGCGCTCTGGCAGGGGGCAGGGGCAGCACGGAGTGTCCCTTCCCCTTCCTCAGACCTTCCCCTTCCCAAACACTTCCCTTTCCCAAACTCTCCCCTTTCCCTTTCCCAAACTTTCCCCTTTCCCTTTCCCAAACTCTTCCCTTTCTCCTTCCCCAAGCCAGCCCCTGGCAGGGCCATCCCTGGAGCACAGGGTCACACCCCCTGTGTCCCCACGTCCCCCTCCTTTGGTTTTGGGGGGCTCGTCAGAGCCAGCCCCGGTCGCCCCTTCCCACAGGGACTGACAGAGCCTCTCCCGGCTGCCGCTCCTGTACAATTCCCATTTATTTTTCCGAGATCTCATTCCAGAGAAGTCCACTAACTCCTGAGAACCTACCGGGCTCCCCGCAGAGCCCCCGGGGCTGAAACAACAAAACCTTTCGGGGAGGGAGATACGGCGGTTCTGGCTGCGGCAGAGTCCCGAAAATAAAAAGGAAGGGGAGAAATTCCAGGGGAAACATCGGCCCCTCTGCTGCTCCTGTCCCCAGGGAGGGCTGCCTGTCCCAGCACAGTGGCAGGGCTGTGCTGTGCCCCCTGCCCGGCTCGGGGCAGGGACAGGGAGGTGCAGGAGAGTCCCTTGGGAGCCGAGGGCATCAAAGCTGGGAGTACAGGGAGTTCTCCATCTCTGGCGGCAGCTTGGTGTGGAATGGGGCCAGGCCCACCCCGAAATCTGGAGGGAGAGGGAAGAGAACTGTCAGCACCTCGTGGGGGGGCATCAGAAGGGTTGGGGGGCACAGCCAGGGCACTGGAAAGGCACACAGACACCCTCAAGACACTGCAGGGGCTGGGGGCACAGAGGGGGCACACAGACATCCCCAGGGGCATTGCAGGGGCTGGGGGCACAGGAGGGGCACAGAGACCCCAAGGGCATTGAGAAGCTGGGGGCACAGGGAGGGCACTTGGGGGGCACACAGACACCCCAGGCCATTGCAGGGGCTGGGGGCACAGAGGGGGCACACAGACCCCTCCAGGGCACTGCTGCAGGCTGAGGAAGCAGGGACTGGAAGCCGGCCAGGCTGTGCCAGGTCAGAGGGAGCAGGATGTGCCTTATCCCTGCGGATCCCTGCCACCCCCGCGAGCATCCCGGCAGCCGGGGGGGTCCCTCCCGTACCCATCTCGGCCTCCAGGCGCCCGGGCTGGGGGTTCTTGCGGTGGTCCTCGATGTGCAGGGTCATGTCCTCGCGGGAGGCGGTGGAGAAGGGGCACTGCGTGCAGCTGTAGCGGCCCCGCGTGTGCTCCCAGACGATGCGGCTGTTGGAGGAGTGCCCTGCAAGGACGGGCGGGCAGGGAAGCACAGGGATCGCCCGGAGCCGGGGGTGCCGCGGGGCGATGGGGGCTGGAGCCCCCTCCCCTGAGCCCCACTCGCTCAGGGGTTCTCTTCCCGAGGGAAGAACCCCGAATATGGGAGCAGGGGGCCAGGCAGTGAAGGGCACGGCGGGTTCTGGGCTCGGACTGGGGGCACTGGGGGCACTGGAGCCAGGCAGCTGCTGCTGCTCCTCCTCCTGCTGCTTCTGCCCTCGGGGCCAGGCTGGGGGGTTTTGGGGGGGTGCAGCCGGTAACCCCCCTGCCTCGGAGCCCGCCGGGGCCACATCCCCTCTCCTCGTGGCTCCCAAAAAAGGAGGGAGCCTGCCCTCCCCCTCTGCTCTCCGGGGAGCACCGCAGTGCCCCTGGGGCATCTCCCATCCCCTGTGGCCCCCCCCCGCCGCCCCCCAAACCCCCCAGTGACAGAAAGCAGCCCCCACCCAGCAGGTGCCAAACTAACCTGGAGTCACTCCTGAGCCAAAGCATGGGAGGAGTGGGCTGACACTCACACCTGCGGAGGGAATCGAGGGCCAAGACAAGCATTAGGTCTTCCCCTCCCTGGGGGGGACTCGTGGGGGGGCAGGCCTGGCCCGGCCCCCCCGCCTCGCACCCCCAGCACGCCGGGGAGCAGCAGGCCCGGGAGAATTTGGAGACTTTTTTTGGCGCTCGCCGGTGCTTTTGCCCAATCGAACATCACAGAGGGGGTGGCACGGGCGGGACGGAGCTTTTTTTTGGGGGGGGGGGGGGGGGGATGGCCGGGCCGGAGGGAGGAGGGGGCCGGATCCTCGGCTGGGCGGCGGCGGGTCCTCCTCGGGAGCTGCTGCTGGTCAAGGCGGGAGCAGAAGAAGGTTTGTCCCGCACGGCTCCGCGCTCTCACCTTGGCTTTTCTTCCAGACGGCGTTGGAGACGCTGGGGGGGCCGTGGCCCGGCAGGAAGGGCCGCAGGCGGTGCTGAGCCGGGGGCTGCGCCAGCCCGTAGGGCGAGGGGGGCACGTAGGGCAGGAAGGGCCCCGGCACCGAGGACGGGGCCGGCCCCGAGAAGCGAGTCAAGGACGAGGGCCCGAACAGGCCGGGCTCCAGCAGCGGGAAGGGGTGCGGGGCCCCCGACCCCAGCGGCTCCAGCGGGCCGGGCAGCGCCGCCGGGGCAGAGTCCGCGCCCGCCGCCGGCGATTCCTTCTGCAGGGGCCGCAGGGCGCTGGGCGGCTTGGGCAGCGCCTCGGGGGGCCTGGGGGGCTCCTTGTCCGCGGCGGGGGCAGCGGGAGGCAGCGCGGGCCGCGGGGCCGGCGCGGGGCCGCTGGCGCTGTCGGAGCAGACGTGCAGGTGCTTGAAGAGCGAGCGGTGCGTGCGGAAGCGCAGCAGGCAGTTCTCACACCTGAGCCGGGAAAGAGCCGTGACAGAGACTGCGAGCGGCTGATGGGCACGCGGGGACCGTTCTTGGCCAAAATTACAGTGCCTGGGCACGAGGCTCACACATGGATAAGCCCGGGGCTGAGCCCAGAGCTGTCACTGTCCCTTCCTGCCTCTTTGTGGTCTCCAAAGCCCCCAGACATCCCCCCCCAGGCATCACCAGGATTCTGCTCACATCCAGCCCACTGGACAGCCAACTGTAGCCACAATTTCCCCCAAAGTGGGGGAATTCCTCCAAGGATCCTCCAAGGCACAGCCAGACCAGGGATTGCAGGAGCTGCCCCTGCTCCCAGGGCTGGGGGGCTCACTGGGTGCTCCCGTCAAAATCCCAAAGGGTTTTCCAGCCAGGAGGAGCAGCAGCTCCCACTGAGTGCCTGGGAGATGTTGATGGGCACGTGGGGATGGTTCTTGCCCAAAATTACATTGGCTTGGCAAGAGGCTCCCACCTGGATAAGCCAAACTTGAATTTCCAGTGAAAATCATCTGGAAAACCCCCTCAGTCTGGGAGATTTCTCTGTAGTGTCTTCATGTTGGAGTGAGAGACAAAATGGTGCTAATAATGGCAATAATAATGCTTATAAATGATAAGCAATGATGAAAATAAGGAGAAAATGATCAAATAAAAAGGATAAAAGGGCAAAAATATTTACAATAACGCTGGTAATTATGATAATAATAATAATGATCCTCCTCCTCCTCCTCGGTGCCCCGTGGTCGTGGGGCTGACCCTCCCACCCGGGGCTGAGCCCAGAGCTGTCATTGTCCCTTCCTGCCTCTCCCACCCCAGGGTGGTCCCCAAAGCCCCCAAACATCCCCCCCAGGCATCACCAGGATCCTGCTCACATCCAGCCCACAGCAATTGTAGTCAAAATTTCCCCCAAAGTGGGGGAATTTCTCCAAGGATCTTCCAAGGGGATCCCCTCCAAGGCACAGCCAGACCAGGGATTGCTGGAGCTGCCCCTGCTCCCAGGGCTGGGGGGCTCACTGGGTGCTCCCGTCAAAATCCCAAAGGGTTTTCCAGCCAGGAGGAGCAGCAGCTCCCACTGAGTGCCTGGGAGATGTTGATGGGCACGTGGGGATGGTTCTTGCCCAAAATTACATTGGCTTGGCAAGAGGCTCCCACAGGGATAAGCCAAACTTGAATTCCCAGTGAAAACCATGTGGAAAACCCCCTCAGTCTGGGAGATTTCTCTGTAGTGTCTTCATGTTGGAGTGAGAGACAAAATGGTGCTAATAATGGCAATAATAATGCCGCTCATAAATAATAAGCAATGAGGAAAATAAGGAGAAAAGGATCAAATAAAAAGGATAAAAGGGTAAAAATATTTATAATAACGCTGATTATGATGATTTTGATAATAATGACAATAATAACAACAATAATATCAGTGCTGGGGCTGTGAAGTGAGCACAGGCAGATGCTTCCCCAAGAGCTCAATAACTCCTTGGGAGATCTCCCTGGAGATCAGCTCTGTGGCTGGGGCACCCCATCCTTCCCATAACATCTGCTCCAGAGGCATTTCCCCAGCTTTTGGCTCTGGGAGGGCTGGCCCAGAGGGGCTCAGCCTGGCCAAGCTGGGCTCAGCAGCTGTTCCTGCAGCACCCAGCACAGCCCAGTGGGAAATAAACCAGGGAGGGGGGGAAAAATCCATGTGGGATTATTCCTGTGGCTGCACCCGGGCTCCTGGCTTTGTCTGGGGGTTGTGGGGCCTTTTTTTGTTGTTGTTTTCTCAGCTCAGCAGCCTCGGGATGAAATCAGCCAGCCATGAAGGGGGGTTGGCCATGGAACAGGGAATCTGGGGCAGGGCTGGGGCTGCTTATGGCCCAGGAGGGGAAATTCAGCCCTGGATGGAGGGGATACTCCATCTCCATCCTCCGTCCCTGGAGGACATGGGGAAAGCATGATAATTTCCCAGCAGCTTTGATGGAGCTTTGTTTATCAGGTGGAAATGAGGGGTTTGGTGGGAAAAAGGGTCTTGGGAATCTTCTTTTTCGGGGAGACAATGCTGAAAAGGTCGAGACAGGGCTGTGCCTGCCTGCCCAGCCCCTGGGCAATGTCCCTGTGGCACTGCCACATTTTGGTGCCCAACCATGAAGTGTCAGAGCTGGAACCACTGGTGCTGGAGTTCAGTGAAGCAGAATTCCTGCTGCCCAGCTGGAAATGCACCTCTGGATCAAAGCTGGGGGGCCCAGCCTGGGCTCAGCACCCCTGGCAGAGCCCTGGGACCAACAGGCTCCAGATGAGCCCAAAGAGAGCAGGGCCATGGCACTGGGAGCTCAGAGGCAGCACAGGGAAGTTTCCCCAAGAAATCAGGAAATTCTTCCCCACCAGCACTGCAGCAGGGACAGGAGCTCCTGGAGCCCCAGGGTCAAAGCCAGCAGTGCCTTGCGGTGTTGGAACCTCCATCCTGTCCCTTTGGGATCACAGATGCCACATAGAGAGTGGCATTCCCTGTTGCAGCACCCCAGTGATGCCTTGTAAGCTGATTTTTTTTTTCTGGAAAAGCTGGGAAACCTCTTGAGCAGAGCCTGTGAGGGCAGGCAGGATGGACACTTGGCCTGTGGCCCCAATGTTCCCCACAGGTGACATGGCAGAGGACACGGTGGCAGCACTGCAGCATCACCCTGTGCCCAGGTTTTTGGAGAGCAGGTGGCACCTGGATCATCTTGCTGTCATTTGTCACCTCCCATGGGATGCTGGCCAACAACCTCCCTCCTCCAGGACTGTCTGTTCTGCAGCCCTAAGTGTGACACCATGGCCCAGGTGCTGCTGAGCTGCCACTGTCCCCATCCCCAGTGACCTCCCGTGGTCACCACAGATGTGACTGACCCCGAGATGTGACTGACCCAGAGGTGTGACTGACCCAGAGGTGTGACTGCCCCAGAGATGGAAGTGACTGCCCCAGAGATGGATGTGACTGCCCTAGAGGTGTCACCCCCCTGGTGACACAATTCCCTCAGAGACAGGACCCCTCCAGAAATATGGCTCCCCCCAAGATGTGACCACCAGTGCAAACCTGCCCTGGAACCCCAATCCTGCAGCCACCACTGTCATTGTCACTATCCCCATTATTATTATTTTCTGCCACCCCAAAAAGCTTCTGGCACAAAACTCCCTCATCCCAATCCCTGTAGGGTGAACAGAGACCCCAAAACCCCTTCCAGGGTCTGCCAGCCATGAGGGTGGGCAGGATGTTTGCAGCTGCCCATCACCCCGAGCAGGCTGTACTGCTGATTCAGTGAATAATTAACACAGCTCATCCCCCTCAAACCATCCGGGGGCTTTATCCATACCCCGAGACTTCGCTCAACCCACCCCGCAAGGATAAAGGGGACAAATAATCGGATTGGAGCATCTCTGAGGCCCGAGGATGAGGAGGCTGCCCCCAAAGGCGGCTCCTGGGCGCAGGAGAGGAGACAAAGGCTGGGAACAAGGGGCTCATGTGATCGCGCAGCCGGCGAGCGCCGGGGGAGGAAGCGCCGGCGGTGCCAGCGGCTCCGCTCCTGCCAGTGCCACCAGCCCCAGCTAAAACACACCCTGAGGGTTCTCCTGGAGCCTTCAGATACCGCGGGGAGCCCGCACAGAGCTGGGGGGTGATGGGGGGGATGCTCCAAGCGTCCAACGCAAGGTGGGTGCCCCAATCCAGGCAAAGCTGCTGCCGGGGTGCCACCCCTCCCTGGGAGGGTTCCCTGCTTTCCAACTCAGAATCTGCCTGGAGAGCTTGAGGAGCCCACCCCAAAGCCAGGGTGGGCATCAGAGGGGCGAGTGCTGAGCCCTGTGCTGGCCTTGGTGTCACATCCACGGGGGCCAGGCCCCTCTTCCCTCTGAGGGGAGGGTCCCCCCTGTCCCCCAGATCGCTCCAAACCCTGCTGCCATCTCCCCACATTCCCACACCACCCCGGTGCCCACCTTTACCTGCCTGCCCGTGGATGGCCCATGGGAAAAGCCCCACTTTGCCTTCAGGAGCCACCTGGGGATGTTGGAGCTCCCTCCCTGAGCCTGGACAAAGCTGAGCCCAGCACCAAGCTCGGCCCATGGCCAAGGCCAGGAACGCCGGGCTCTGACAGCCACAGAGCGGCTCCCAGAGGTGAGGCAGCACGGGCAGATCCCGGCAGGTGCATCCCGGCAGGTGAGGGGGTCCTGCTGTTCCCACAGGCCACACACCTGTCAGGACCCAGGGCTAGCGGCTCCCGTGGCTCCCTGTCAGCCCCACGAGTGGTAACCACAGGGTAGCCCCCATGGCCACTGCTTTCTGGGGCTGGTAGCCCCCCCAGGGGCCATACACCCATGGCTACAATGACACCCACGGCCACCACCCCGTGGCAGTGGCCCCGGGACCCGGAGCCCCCGCGGGCAGCAGCCCCGGGGCTGGTGCAGGTCCCGGCTCCCTGCAGAGCCCCGGTACCCCGACCCCAGTCCGGTACCGCGGCTGTCCCCGGTGCAGCTCCAGCCCCGGTGCCGGTCCATCATCCGGTACCGCTACACCCCCGGTACCGGTACAGCCCCCGTGCTGGTTCATCCCCGGTACCGATCCAGCCCCGGTGCCAGCACACTCCTGGCCCGTTACATCCCCCGGTGCCAGTGCTCCCTTCCCGGTGCCAGCACCCCGCCGGTGCCGGGGCACCCCCGATACCGGTACAGCCCCGATACCGGTACGGTGCCGGTGCCCGTACATCCCCGGTGCCGATACGGTCCCGGTGCCGGTACACCCCCGCCGGTGCCGGCAAAGCTCCCGCTGTCCTCGCACCCCCTGTGTCAGTCCATCCCGGGTGTCGGTCCGTTCCCCGATCCCGGTCCTCCCCCGGTGCCCGCCCGTCCCTCCCGGTCCCTCCCGGCCGTACCGGGGCTGCGGCGGGGCCGGCGCCGCCCGGGTCGCGCATCAGCGGCGGGGCGGCCGCGGGGCCATTTTCTGTGCGGAGCTGTCGCGAGAGCGGGGGGAGGAGGAGGAGGAGGATGACGGGGGGGAGGAAGGAACGTGCGGAAGGGCGGGCGGGGCCCGGGGGGGGGGCCCCGGCCCCGCCCCGCCCCGTTCCCCCCCTCCCCCAGCTGCTTTTCCCGGGAGATTCTCCGCATCCCAGCGTCTGCGGGCATCTCGAGCATCCCGGGGTTTTTGGAGCATCCCGGGGGGTTTGGAGGATCCAGGGGATTTTGGAGCATCCCGGGAGTTTTGGAGCATCCCGGGGGGTTTGGAGGATCCAGGGGATTTTGGAGCATCCCGGGAGTTTTGGAGCATCCCGGGGGTTTTGGAGGATCCAGGAGATTTTGGAGAGTCCCGGGATTTTGGAGGATCCAAGGGATTTTGGAGCATCCTGTGGGTTTTGGAGCGTCCCGGGGTTTTTAGGCATCCCGGGGGTTTTTGGAGGATCCCGGAGTTTTTAGGCATCCCGGGGGTTTTGGATCATCCCGGAGAGGGAAAGGCAGCAGCACTTCCTGAAGCTTTTGAAGCATCCCAGGGCCCTTGGAGCCTTCTGAAATTCTTGGAGCAACCCAGGGCTTTTGGAACATCCCGGGACTTTGGAGCATCCAGGGAGTCTGTCGAGTACCCCAGGGGCTTTGAAACATTCCAGGGCTCATGGAGCATCCTGAGGCTTTTGGAGCATCTTGGACTCCTCAGAGCCTCCTGGAGCTTTGCAATGTCCGGGGGGCTCCGGAGCATCCTGGGATGCTCAGACCCTGAACCCGGTGGGAAGTGCTGGAGCCCTTGGAGCATCCCAGACCCTCTGAGCACCCCGGGCTCCTGGGGACACCCCAGATTTTTGGAAACACCCCGAGTTCCTGGGAACACACCGAATTTTTGGGAGCACCCCAGACTCTTGGGAGCACCCCGAGCTCCTGGGATCATCCCAGATTTTTGGGAGCACCCCAAGCTCCTGAGAATACCCCAAGCTCCTGGGAACACCCCGGACTCTTGGGAGCACCCCAGACTCCTGGGAATACCCTGGATTTTTGGGAGCTTCCCCAAGTTCCTGGCAACACCCCAAGCTCCTGGGAACACCCTGGATTTTTGGGAGCACCCTGAGCTTCTGGGAACACCCCAAGCTCCTGGGAACACCTCGGATTTTTGGGAGCACCCCAGATTTTTGGGAACACCCCGTATTTTTGGGAGCACCCCTCAGCTCATGTGTGCCCCGAGGAGCAGCCCAGGACCCTCCAGGATCCTCGCAGCAACAGAAGCCCCTGAGAGACCCCCAAACCCCCGGGAGTCCCTGGAGCTCTTTGGAGCACCCGGAGCCCTCTGGAGCAGCCCGGGGGTGCCTGAGCTGGCCCTGCTCCCACGTCCCTGCAGGGCTGAGCAGGGACATCCCCCTGACAGCACCCACTGCCCCCATTCCCCAGCCCCATTCCACCAGGAAGGGCTGGAAGGGGCAGGAAGGAGTTTCCCAAATCCTCAGAGTTCCCGAAGCCACTATTTTTTATTAAAATAAAATCAGACACCTCCCTCTTGCACTCTGCAGTGCAAGGACTCCTAAAGAGCTGTGATTTACAGGAAAATCACCCCGAGAACTGCAGGGCCTGAAAAACCCCAAAACGGGGGGAGGGGGGACCCACAATTTCCAGTGTGGGGCTGTGAGGAGTTTGCAATTCCACGGGGAACTTCCCACCCCAGTGGGGTTCTGCCCTCTGTTAATCCCTCCCTGGAGGACACAGGGTCCCCTGAACACCGCTGGACTCCAAAGCTGAGGTGGGGAGGAAGGTCTGTGTGACAGGGGAGCAGCTCCAGTGGGGGCTCGGGAGGGAGGAAGAGGAGGGCTGCGCTGTGGGATCAGGGAGGAAGAGGAGGGCTGGGCTGTGGGATCACTCGGGCTCTGTGGGATCAGGGAGGAAGGAAGAGGAGGGCTGTGCTGTGGGATCAGCCGGGCTCTGTGGGATCCGGGAGGAAGAGGAGGGCCGTGCTGTGGGATCAGCCGGGCTCTGTGGGATCAGGCTGTCGTCACTTCCTCCGGCGCGGGGCCTGGCGGGGAGGCCGGACATGGGGCGGACATTTCAGCGCTGTTCCCTCTCCCGGCTGAAAACCCCCTGGGGCAGCCCCGGGTGGGGCTCGGCCCCCAGCCCACACCCCAGCCCAGCTGTCCCCCTGCCCTGGGCTGGAGGATGTCGGCACAGAGGGTCTCAGCTGCCACCCCAAGCATCCCACAGGGATGAGACCCCACAGCTGCCCCGAGCAGCGCCAGGAGAGGCTGTAACAGCTCCTGGGCTTTGCCTGAGGGATCCTCGGACTGTTCCTGTGCCAAACCGGGGCACGGCAGCAGCGCCCTGCTCCTGCTTTGCCTCGCCGGCTGTGCTGAGCCATCCAGAGCCACAGCGGAGCCTGGAGGTGTCTGAGCTGGAGCCTGGAGAGCTGGTTGGTGTATTCAGCATTTTCTGGAGGGTTCGTGGTGGGAGGAACGGGGCTGCCTCTGATCTGTGTCTGCCCACGTTACAGATTTGAAACAGCCTTAGTGGGTGAAATACAACCCTCAAACTCAAAATCTGAGTCAGCTTTGCTGAGTCTGCTTATTTACCATAATTACAAACAACGGTTCTATTCATATCACGGAGAGCAGTTTGAGTCCCAGGGTACGAATAAGCAGCCAAGAGCCCGTCCTGGCTACAGGGTGCCCCCAGCTGAAGGGGCTGTGGGATCCAGCCCCTGGCACCGGCACAGTCTGGGGGGCTTGTGAGGAAATGCTCACTCTGTGATAGCACTGATGGGAAAACTTCACGGTTGGGAAGTTCTTGGGAAGTTTTGAAGTTGCTGGGAAAACTTCAGGTGCCCTGGCACCTTGGGCACAGCCTCTGGAGGTGGGGTGGGAGGACAGTGACCTCCTCCTTTCCTCCAGCTCAGATCCTCTGCACATAATTCCCAGGGAAAAGCCCTTCCTTGCCGTGCAGCTGGCCCTTCCACCAGCCAGAGGCATCTGGGGAGGAGACAAAAAATCAGCTGTGCTGGTGCCAGCACGGCAGGGAGAGGAGGCAGGGAGAGGAGTCGGGCAGGGCAGGAGCAGGTACCTTCCATCAGGATGACAATGACGTCCCCCACGTTGAAGCTGAGCTCGTCCACGTCCTGCCCGATGTACTGGTAGAGCGCCCGGCAGCGCGGCCCCTCCGCCTTGGGCTGCGGCTTGGGGCGCCGGGCCGGGGGCGGCCGCTGGCCCACGCTGCGCCGGCGCTGCACCCTGAGGGCGGGAGGGACGGGGTCTGCACCGGCAGGGCACGGGGGATGGCATGTGCTGCTGCCCCTGCCCACCCTGCATCACCCATGGGGTGCTCCGTGCCTGCAGGTGGATTGTCACAGTGCAGGGACTGGGGGAACTGGGGCAGGATGAACTCCCCACCCATGGGATGCTCTGTGCCTGCAGGTGGGCGCTCCCAGTTCAGGGACTGGGGGAACTGGGGCAGGATGAGCTACACCCTCTGCCCATCCTGAGGTGCTCTGTGTCTGCAGCTAGGTGCTCCCAGTTCAGGGACTGGGAGGACTGGGGCAGGAGGAGCTGCACCCTCCTGTCCACCCTTCTGTCCCCCACCCATCCATGGGATGCTCCATGCTTGCAGCACAGCTGGGTGCTCCCAGTTCAGGGACTGGGGAAACTGGAGCAGGATGAGCTGCACCCTCCTGCCCACTCTGCTGTCTGTGCCTGCAGGTGAGTTCTCCCAGTTCAGGGACTGGGGGAACTGGGGCAGGATGAGCTGCCCATCCTGCTGTCCCACCACCATGGGATGCTCTGTGCCTGTAGCTGGGTGCTCCCAGTTCAGGGACTGGGAGGACTGGGATGCACAAGAGCCTGGGAGATGTGTCCTGCCAGCAAAGCCAGGACACATCCCCTGTCTCTGAGGAGGGGACACATATGGTCCCCTCCTCAGAGGGGAAAGCATCTCCGCGTGCTGGTGGCAGTGGGAGAGGAAGATGGGACAGGGACAGGGACATGGCACAGGACCTACCCAGCCACCCCCTGGTCAGGCACGTTGAGGAAGTCCATGTTGTGCTCGGATGGGGGCCGTGCCTTGGGCTGGTGGCCGGCATTGCGGGCGGGGAGCGCTGTGGCTGGGGGACCCCGCGTCTGCTTCTGGGGCTTCTTGTAGGTGTCCCTCTGTGCCCAGCTATCCTCGCGGGGGACCTGGGGACCCCCGTTCCTGCAGGCTCCTGGAACAGCCCATCCCAGGAGGGTGCATTATGAGGGGCCATGCACAGCCTGCACCCCCGGGTATACCCCACCCCATACCCCCTCCTCACCTCTGGGTGCTGGTGGGGCACTGCGGGAAGGTGCCGGACGCCTGCTGCCACCTCTGCCCTGTGCTGCCCCCTTCCTTGTGGGCTCTGGGGGGACACAAGCCCCCCGTTAGGTGACAGTCCTCAGAGCCAGCTCTAGGGGCTGTCCCCCCATTTGTACCCTGTTCCCCAAAGGTGCCGGTGCTGCCCCATCACCAGAGCAGAAATGGGTCCTTCCCGGGGGAGACACAATACACCCAGCTCACCCCAATGCTCCCAGGCCTCCAGCCGTGCCCTGTGACCCCAGCGCTCCTGTGTCCCCCCTCTGCCACCCTCCAGTGCCCTAGCACTCACTGGCATTCCTGGGGAGCCCATCCCCGATGCTGACCATAAGGGTTTTGCCTCCAGCTTTGAGGGCGGCCACGTCGCCCTGTCCTCTGATGAAGGTGACATTGCGGGTGCCACCGCCACCCCAGCCCTCCTTCTTC